AAAAAAAACAAACTGGAAGTAGAGCTGTTGCTCAAAGTGGTAGAGCACTAGCCTTGAGCAAAAAAAAAAAAAATACACACACACATACACACACACACACACACACACACACACACAGCACCCAGGCCTTGAGTTCAAGGACTGTGATTGACAAAGAAAGAAAGAGAGAGAGAGAAAGAAAGAGCAAGAGAAAGAAAGAGAGAGAGAAAGAAAGAAAGAGAGAGAGAGAGAAAGACAGAAAGAAAGAAAGGAAGGAAAAAAGAAGAAAGAAAGACAGACAGAAGGAAAGAAATAAGGAAAGAAAAGAAAGACAGACAGAAAGAAAGAAGAAAGAGAAAGGAAAGAAAAGAGAAAAGGAAAAGAAAGAATTGTAACAAAGAAAGTGAGAGAAACAAACAAACAAAAAAGAATTAATGAGTAGAAATTGTTTTGTGATAGCATATAAATATATATATATATATATATATATATATATATATATACCTTCATTGTAAAGGTAATGAACAGGGGTGTTACAGTTATGTAAGTAGGGTAATGAGTGCATATTTTAAACCCCCTCTCTCATTTTCTCTCACTTACCCCTCCTTACTCCTCTCCTCAATCAAGTTGTATAGTTCATTTCCAACATAGTATCAAGTGAGTATCATTGTTGTATTAGTTCATCATCCTTTGTCCTGCTGTTTCTGTGATTCCTTTTCCCTTCCACTGATTGAAAAAGCTTATATACAAGACAAAGGGTACAAAAAGCTAAAACTGAAAAAACTAAAACTGCATACAGGACATAATAAGAACCTCTTGTTTCCCATTCATGGTGTTCATGTTGATATGCTTCATTATTTTATGGTCCTATGCACTTAGCAATTGGGCTATTGTAATCCCCTGTTAAGAATGTCATATATTCTAGTTATTACAAATGTTCACATATTTCAGTTATTATAAATGAGGGAAAACACTCAACCTACTCTTCTTTGGGCCTGGCTTACTTAGCTTAATATTGTGATAGTTTTTTAAGAAATCTCTTGACAAGAAAATAAGAATAAAAAGTAAACCTTGAACCAGGCCCAGTAGCTCATGCCTATATCTCAGTTATTTGGAAAGCAGAAATCAAAGGGACCACAGAAGAGAGCCCAGGCAAAGAGTTCCCAGGACCCCATCTCAATAAAACAACCTGTTTCATGAAGAAGGTCAGAGGGCCTTAGGCAGGAGGATCGTGGCATAAGATGAGCCAAGGGCAAAAAGCAAGACTCAACCTAAAAAATATTCTAAAACAAAAAGGGCTGGAGATGCGGCTTAAGTGGTAGAGTGTCTGCCTAAAAAAATACCCCAGAATCACCAAAACAAACAAATTAATAAACCTTGAAATTTGTAACATTATGGAAAAAATAGATAAAACATCTTCCTTCAAGTTTTATATTTAAAAACTTTTTGCACATTTCACATGAGATCAGAAGACAAATAGAACACAGGTAAAGAAGAACTGATATCGATGGGCATTGGTGGTATGGTTTGTATATGAAATATGTTCCCCACAGACTTGTGTTTTGATGGCTTGGTCCCCAGCTGGTAGAGCTACTTGGGGACGTTCTGGAAACTTCAGAGGCAGGGTTGCTGGGACTGTGTCCTGCTGAACTGTATTTTATCCTTGGTTCTATTTGCTCAGTTTCATGTCTATCACAAGGCGAGCAGTCTAGGTTACAAGCTTGTGACAATATGATGCCTCAACATGAGCCCAAAATAAACAGACATAGGAAAATGGACTGAAACATTGAGCCAAAATAAATCCTTCCTCCCTAAGTTGCTTTTCACATAGAATTTGTCACAATGACAGAAAGTGTGACTACTGTACTTAGTGAACCTAAAAGTACAGAACCACTTTTTAAAAATGCACTATGTAAACAATTGTCTTAGTATAGCACAGATAACATATACTAGATTTGACCTACTGAATTTACACAAAAGAAACATCAGAAATGACCTTAATTGAATTCTCACATCAATATACCAAACAAAACACATACACAGAAAATATTTGTATAAGTATCATACAGAAAAAATTTTAAAAACCACTGAAAAATTCAGTGAAAACACTAACTTGAAAAAGTATTAATAATATGATTTTTAAGTTCCAAATCTGTCAAAAGCTAACATTTATTATTCCTTTTTTGTGAATCAATATATTTCATTTTTTCTTCTTTGACTAAAAGTTAAATAGCCTTAAAAATGTTAGAGCTGGCCTGGGAAGGTGGCTCAGTGGTAGAGTGCTTGCCTTGCATGCATGAGGCCCTGGGTTTGATTCCTCAGCACCACATAAGCAGATAAAGCCAGAAGTGGTGCTGTGGCTCAAGTGGTAGAGCACTAGCCTTGAGCTGAAGAACTCAGGGACAGTGCCCAGGCCCAGAGGTCAGGCCCCACGATCGACCAAAAAAAAAAAGTTAGAGCTAGAGTTTGTAGCTTAATGGTACAGTGCTCACCCAGAATGCTCAATTACTGTGAGTTCAGCCCCCAACACCAAAAAAAAAAGTGAATGGTACTGATACACAGCGGGGGGGGGGGGGAATCACAATGTCTGGCATTCCACTAAAAGTTATCAGGCAAGCAAAGAATCAGAAAAAAAAAATCTATTCAAAATGCAAGAACAACTGAATATGGATAATACAGATGTTAAAATTATCCTGCAAAGATTTAAACACGTGTAACAATTACGTACATTTAAAACATCAAGTAGATAAATGAAAATTTTAAGGACACATCCAAATCATACTTATGAAGGCAAAACTTACACATCTTGAAAAGAAAAAAAACAATCACTGGATAGGATGAAAGGCAGACATTGCATAATAAAACACTAGTAATGTTGTAGGCCCAGTCAGTGAAGCTACCAAAAATGAAACAAACACAGAGAAAAGCCAAGGGGGAAAATGAGATAGAGTACCAACAGGCTGTGACCAAGTACACATGGCCTAATATACGTGCAACTAGAGTCTCTGAAGGACAGAAAATTTAGAGAAGAAAGTATTTGTGAAGAAACCATGATCAAAAGCTTTCCAAATGTGATAAAAACTAGAGACTCTCAAAAACACAAGTGTAGTAATTTATTTTTTAAAAAAAATGTTTTTAAACTAAAGCAGGATAAACCATGTCAAATTGCTCAAAAACAATTATAAAATAAATTTATAAAATGTTGCCAAAAGAAAATAAAATATTCAAGAAAAATATAAGGATTATAGATTTTCCTTGATGGGCATTAGAGCAGCATCTTTAAAGAACTGAAAAGACACCAGGCACTGTTTGCTACTCAGGCAGCTGAGATTAGTAGGGTTATGATTAGAAGCCAGCCAAGGCAGAAAAGTCCATGAGTGGCTTAAAGACTTAATGTACAATTACTCTGAGTGCCAGTCTTGTAGTAATATAAATGACACTAAAAGTATGTATCAAAACTTGAAAATAGCTATGTGTTTATGCACATACACAAAAATAAATACACAAATATATATGTATATGTAATATATATGTATGCTTGAATGCATGTATACCTGTATGAACATATGTATGTTACAATTTTGGTAGTATTAGGGTTTGAGCTGAGATGCTATACCATGTTAAGCATGCCTCCACCCTGCATATTTCTTTTTCTTATAATCATCCTCAAGCATGAAGTAAAATGCACTAGGATATAATATGTTCGGATTATGTCATCACTAGCTCTGTGTGAAGTTAGATATGGATGTTTATAATGTAATTTAATAAACCTGAAATTACTTCCTAGGTATGAAGTAATGAACTCTACAAAATCAACTATTTTGACAGCTAAAGAAGTCATTTGTGCTTAATGTGCTTAGTGTACAGAACTATTTCTAAACTCTACATGACGGCTAAGCAAATAAATTTTGAAAGAGTGTGAGACAGAGTTCTCAAGTTAGAAGTGTCAAGTAGGCTACCAATTCAAATGGTTGGAATCTCAATTGATTAAATATAGCAAATGCTCACTAAATGTTTTCTGATTACCTAGAGCATTCTTCAAAAAAAGTAATAATAATGAGATATATCAAGCTTGAAAGAGATATCTACATTAAAAGAATAGCTTTTAAATGGTAAAAATAAAATCAACGAACACTTTTCATAATTTTGCCATACCTTTAGCTAAAGCTTCTTTATATTTCTCTTTAGCAGAATTCATTTCTTTTATTAGTTGTCTATAGCTAGATTTTAATTTCTCCAATTCTGTCTTTGTAACCTGTCAACAAAAAAAATATGCAAAAAGTTTTTTAAATGTTTGCACCTGATTGGTCAAGAACTGAAATTCTAAAGTATTAGCCAATATATATTTTAGAAGTTAAGATTGGTGTCTCTTTAATAAATGATTACAGACAATAAATTAAAAAATAATGTGAAATCACAGAATTTCAAACTAATTCCATAGTAGATGTAAACATATAAAGTCCTTTTTGGTTTGTTTGCAAGTTTGTTTGTCAGTCCTTGGTCTTGAATTCAGGGACTGGGTGCTATCCCTGAGCCTCTTTGTGCTCAAGACTAGCATTCTATCCCTTGAGCCACAGCACCACTTCCAGCTTTTTCTCAGTAGTTTACTGGCTATAAGAGTCTCACGGACCTTCCTGCCTGGGCTGGCTTCAAACCGTGATCCTCGGATCTCTGCCTCCGGAGTAGTTAGGATTACAGGTGTGAGGCCACTGGTGCCAGCAGAAACTTCTTCTTTTTTTTTTTAATTTTTTTTAATTTTTATTTTTTTGGGGGGTCCAGTTGTGGGCCTGAACTCTGGGCCTGGGCACTGTCCCTTAGCTCTTCACCTCAAGGCTAGCGCTCTACCACTTGAGCCACAGTGCCACTTCCGGCATTTTTTCCTGCTTATGTGGTGCTAAGGAATCGAACCCAGGGCCTCATGCATGCAAGGTAAGCGCTCTATTACTGAGCCACCTTCCCAGCCCAACAGCAGAAACTTCTTTAAAAAGACAAATCACCAGACACTGGTGGCTCATGCCTATAATCTTAGCCATGCAAGAGGCTAAGATCTAAGGATCGCAGTTCAAAACCAGTCCTGGCAGGAAGGTCTGTGAAACTCTTATATTGAATTAACAACCAAAATGCCAGAGTAGAGCTGTGGCTCAAGCAGCAGAATGCTAGCTTTGAGCAAAAATGTTCAGGAACAGTGACCAGACCCTGAGTGCAAACCCCAGGACCTGCACAGGAAAAAAAAAAAAAATCGAGTAGTGTAGCAATCATCTAAAATGTAACCATTGATAAGTTAATTTAAAATATAGAGAAATATACTGTTATTAAAATACTGATTAAAATATTTGTTTTACAATTATTAAAAATAACCTATTACAAGATATTCCTAGACCAAACCAAAAATAATTCTGTTATCATCTAAAATTTAAAGACCAATAACTTAATTCAGTGTAGAGAGATATATTTTCTTTAACAAAAAATTAAATTTCTCTCATTAAAATATTTAATCATTTAACATACCTTTGTGTTATCAAAGTTTCAACATTTTTTTTAAACATTTGAACATCTCTGAAAAGAGGTGCCTTCTATTTACAGTAACTATCACTGTTGGCCAGGCAGCAGTTATGACACTAATCACAGAAGATTACATGAATTTGATCAAGAAGCAATTTAAATATAATTTGAAGGGAAAAGAATGAGTCTGGTTGCATGCAAATCTAACACACTTTTGAAAGGACTCAGAAAAAGACAGTATCAGAAAAAGTGGCACCAGCAATTTGGAAGAAAATTTGAGGTCCCTTTTTAAAAAATTCTGTCTCATCAATATTCTTGACAACAAAGAAGTTGGATATTTCTGTATTAAGAAGCATAAAAAAAATCAAGTATGAGGTAAATATAAGTGAGTTTAAATCATTCATCTTTAAGAAAAAGCTCTCTGATTAAGTTTTAAGTTGCTAAAGAGCCAATTCATTATTCTGAAAAACGTCAGATTAATTAGAAAAGGCAAACTTATAACTGGCTCTCCCTATATGAACTATATCTTAACGTAACCAAACAGTTGATACAGAGAAATTCCAATTAACTTGCACTAGGCAATGACAGAATTTAAATACTGGCATTGTACAAATCCCAAGAAGATATTTAATGTATTTAACATATAATTAACATAATTAACATCAGCCAACAGCTTCTAAAACTTTTAGGACGGGCTGGGAAGGTGGCTCAGTGGTAGAGTGCTTGCCTTACATGCCTGAGGCCCTGGGTTCGATTCCTCAGCACCACATAAG